AAGAGGCAGCCAACGATCTCCGGCGCCGTCCTGCTCCACGCGCTGGCGGGTGTCGTTGCTGCCTCCTGAGGGGAGGGCGATTCTGGGCTGCGCGATTGGGGGACTTCGTGGCTTTGGGTGGGTGGGTGGGTGGGTGGGAGTGAGGACGGACGGAGTCTGTGAAGCGGGGCTTGCCTGCCCTTGCTGGCTGCCTCTGCTTCCTTAGGGGCGGGGAAGGGGGCTCATCTGGACCAAGGGTGAGTCTCCCCCTCAGTTTCCCCTGAAGGATCTTCCGTCGCTTTTGCCTTCTCCCTACATCTCCGCTCAGGTGTCCGGCTGGGGCTGTCGGGAGTTGCTGCCGCCAGTGCGGCTCCGGTCCCGCGTTGCCTTGGGAAGGGTGGGGCAAAACCAGGAGCCGCTGAGCCTGAGCCTCCGGTGCCGCTGCTGCTGTTGCAAAGTGCTGCCGCGGCTCTTCCTTTTTGCCTTTCCCTTCCCGAGGTGACGCGGGACTGGGGCCGCGCCGGCGGTAGCGACTCCTGACTCAGGGGGCCTCCGAGGGAGGGGAAGAGAGTGACTCCTGCCTCCCGCTGTCATCATCATCATCTTCTTTTGGGTTAGTGAATCAATTAAACCTTTCATGATAGTGAGATCGTTTCCCAAATTAATTATTTTTATTTTTGAAATTTACCAGTAGCTGCTGCATTTCCCACCCTCGGCTTATACTCGAGTCAATAAGTTTTCCCAGTTTTTTTTTTGTAAAATTAGGTGCCTCGGCTTATATTCGGGTCGACTTATACTCGAGTATATACGGTAGATGTTCTTATTGGCATTGATGAGGATGAACTTCAACATTTATGAAGGATACTCAAATTATCTATTTACTCACATACTATATAAGCACAATGATCTTTGTTATTGGTCCAATACAGATTAAGAAAAACTTGGAGTAATAACTGCAGTTATCCTATGGCACCAATTTTTGCATATTCCATAATTCATACTGCATAAGATCTGTAGTGCTCCTCAACAAAATATCCATCACATTGGGTCCAAATGTCCATCAAGAGCTTACACTGGTATAGACCACCCTGTCCTTAAATGGATGGGTGGACTGGACATTAACATTTGAACCACTATTAAGTCCATGTATTTGCCATACGCTAAATAAATAAATAAACTGCATAAGAAAAGCATCCTAGGTCAGTGGAGTGAGGAAAAAATCAACACCAGTCATTTTACATTAGAACAAACTACTGCTAAAGCTTCTAGACCATAGAAGTAAAATTAGAAGTAGTTGCAACTGCAGGGACCAGCAAAAAGTATGCTTTCTAGCTATGCCCTTCCCTCACAATGCCTTTCTCCCATCTTTCTATTTTTTTTTTTTGCTAGTCAAAGGTTCTTAGTTGTTTGTAGAAGAATTAGTGCAAGGACTCCATTGCCTCCTTTCACTGTTGTTCTGTGGCTGGTTCTCTATTTGTTTCTGCTATCAAATGTTTTGGTCTGCTTTGCAAAAAAAGATTAGTGGTATCCTTAATCAGGAGTGGTTCAGGTTCAGGACAGGTTCGGGTGAACCAGATCCCCTCCCCTCTCCGGAGTCCCCACGAGGCCCATCTGGCTCCCAGGTAACTGTAGGGTAGCCTCCTGGGAGCAAAAACGGGGCATGGGGGGGGGGTCCAGCGCTGCCCCCCTGCTTTTGCTCCTAGGAGACTCCAGGGAGATTTGCTACACCAAAAACACAAAGTAGGGGGGTCCGGCGCTGCCCCCCATTTTTGCTCCTAGGAGGCTCCAGGGAGGCTTGGGCCTAGGAGGCCTCCCTGCAGCTTCCTGGGAGCATCTAGCCATCCAGTATGCCTGGATTCAATGTTTAGCCAAAAGAACACTTAGAGCTAATACAGTATTGATTACTGCCGTGGGAATGTTCTAGGTAAACAAAACTATGCAATCTCCTAAAACTGTTGGAGCCAATCTTCTTTCTTTATTCCATATCCCCCTCTTCAAAACTAGTAAGTTGCTCTGCTTTTTCATGCCAGGATTAGTGTGGTAAGTTCAGAGTGGATTTTGTAGAGAACATCTTACCTTTAGGTCTCAGTCATTTGCTCAATTTCAGGGCATACATTACACAATTTCCAAAGCATAATTCAAACCAGTTTGCCTAGCTGCTGCTTCATTACTTCTATTGCTGTCACAACCTTTATGGAGTGCCCAATGGCCTTTTAAGTTTGACAAGCAAAAACACAGTAAATATTTCTCACAAATATTTTCCTTCTTCCACTTTGTTGTTCGATATTTAACATATCAAATTATGTGCTCTGTTACTATTCAGGTAGTTTGCAAACTTGTGTTTTTGTTGTTGGAAGACAACTCTTTAATTTGAAGATGGTGGTAAATTCTTGGTAATAAAATGGCAAGTAGAAAGGCTCATTTCTACTTGCCATTTAGAAAGGGTTAGAAAGAATGAGAAGGTTAACCTTTCCTTTGTTTCCAATCTCCTTTTCTTGACTTGGTCTTCATAAAAAGTAGCTTTGGAATTGAAGCCATATGTGTTAAAACAAAATTCTTTCTGTTTAAGTACAAGTATGCAAAAAGTTTCAAGATTAATCCAAGATGTTTAATGGCTTTAAATATCTTGGTTTTGTACTAAGGTTTAACTCAGAGGTCTTCAAACTTGGCAACTTTAAGACTTGTGGACTTCAATTGCCAGAATTCCTAGCCAGCTATGCTGGCTGGAGAATTCTGGGACTTGAAGTCCACAAGTCTTAAAAGTTGCCAAGTTTGGGGACCCCTGGTTTAAGTAGAAAGAGGTTCCAGCTGAAAATATACCATGAATAGCATAGAGATGCATAGTAGCTCTTTCTTTCTTTCTCTTTCTTTCTTTCTTTCTTTCTTTCTTTCTTTCTTTCTCTTAAAAGGAAGAAAAAGAAAGATGGAGGGATGGGAGAAAGTAAGGGAGGGAAGGGAGAAAGAGGGAAGGGAAAGGAATGTGAATGAGATATGGATGGATGGATGAATGGATAGAGGGAGGGAGGGAAAGAAAAAGGAGATGAAGGAAGGACCACAAACCCTGGCATGAAACGCAGCTTCAGAGGATGCTTTGAAACAGCACAGCAATCCAGGGCTGGAAGGAACCTCAACCCCGCTCCAAGAGCATTGTTAAAGTGAGTTTCTATCTTTTGACCCAGCCAGTCACGTGACCAAGCCATGCTCAGCCAGTCATGTGACCATCAAGACACACCAGCCAGCAAGCCACGCTACCCAGTCACATGACCACCAAGCCACACCCACAAATTAGGCCATGCCCACAGAACCGGTTGTTAAGAAATTTGAATCCCACCCCTGTCCTTAATATAGCTACTTCTTGAAAAATTATTCAAGATTAACTTGTTGTAGAAATATGCAGTAACAGTATGACTTATAAATCCATTTGAACAGGACTTCCTGAGCTACACGTTCTTTCCAATAGACTGCTTCTAGCTACTCATCCAAGTGCCATTCTCCTCCCCATACCTCATCTTTATTTCTTGAGCTGCACGTAGGACAGATTCCAGCCTGCCAACATCTATTTTAACAATGCTGATGTGTGCACGGGGGAAGGATGATAATAAGTTGTCACGGGTGGCATTGGCTTTGTCCATGTTTCTGCAGGCTAAACAAATATGGATGTTTTCATCTTCCTGGAGCAGACGTTCACACAGCGCAGAACCAATCCCACTGCAAGAGTAACAACATACAGTTAAGGCCTGTCATAGAGTATCACTATCAACGCTCTTTGAAGTTCATTATGCAACAGTTGAGAAAATATATTCCCTAGTATCTCTCTGTAAATGTATGCATTCCATAAATGCCAAAATGATTTTCCTATAGATGTTAAAAGAGATTTTATAAATTAATTGTACGAAGATACACGAGAGTAGGAACAGTGAACTAGAAGACCCTGAAACATTTCTTCACTGGTGGACAGAAAGTGGCTTTGCTTTGTCTTCAATGACTTAATTTAGCATGCTGAAGAGGATCTTGGAAAGGGATTCGACTTATAGTGCATCCCTGTTCTTTCCTGTGAAATAATCTCACTACCATTAATTGGATAGATATGATGAATGTTAATGTTGGGAAGATAGGACATCATTATAATGAAAAAAAACTTATTTATAAGAGATCACCTGATTTTTTTAGTACAGATCCAACAGACTCGCACAAAAGATTTATCTGCCATTATATATTTGATAGAAGACTATTGGTTCATTATCCAAACAACTGGATATTATTAGAAATACAGATAGATACAATAGCATGACAAACATATAGATGGTTAACAAAATGAAATTCAATGTAGAGAAAAATAAAGTCTTACACTTAGGCAAGAAAAAGCAAAAGTACACATATAGACTGGGTGAAACCAGGCTCAATAACAGTAACTGTGAGAGTGATCTTGGAGTCTTAGTGGACAACCAGTTAAATACGAGCCAGCAGTGTGCAGCAGCAGCCAAAAAAGCTAATGCAATCCTAAATTGCATCAACAGAGAGATACAATCGAGATCTAATACCACGCCTTAGTAAGACCACACCTAAAGTACTGCATCCAGTTTCGTCACCACACTATAAAAAAGATGTCGAGGCTCTAGAAAAAGTACAGAGAAGAGCAACCAGGATGATTAGGGGGACTGGAGACTAAAACATATGAAGAATGGTTACAGGAACTGGGCATGGCTAGTCTAGTGAAGAGAAGGACCAGGGGAGACATGATAGCAGTCTTCCAATATTTGAGGGGCTGCCACAGAGAGGAAGGAGTCAAGCTATTTTCTAAAGCACCCAAAGGCCAGACAAGGAATAATGGATGGAAACTGAACAAAGGAAGTTTTAACCTGGAAATAAGGAGAAACTTTCTGACAGTGAGAACAATCAACCAATGGAACAGCTTGCCCTCGGAAATTGTGGGAGCGCCATCACTGGAGGCTTTCAAGAAGAGATTGGACTCCCATCTGTCAGAAATGGTGTAAGGTCTCCTGCTTGGGCAGAGGGTTGGACTAGAAGACTTACAAGGTCCCTTCCAATTCTTATTATCTGTTATCTGTTATGGTTGTTAGAGCTAGAGAGGAATAATTAGTTGTGGGATATATTAGCACCAATAATTCCAAAAGAGCTTTTTCCAAAAGGCAGCTGGTCTTTCTTGGCTTTTTCTTCGAAAACATTTCCCTTCTTATCTAAGAAGCTTCTTCAGTTTTAACTTTAGAAGTGAACCTAATAACCTGGATGACTGAGAATCTACACAGACAATTAGCACCAGTAATATTCAAGAAATATAGCTGTGTCATTCCAGAAGCAAAAAAAAAGTTTGGTAAGGAGGATGCTAAAATCCAAATAGTCCAAGATAAGCCATCTACCACATTTCACATATAAGTCAACAAAATTTCCTTGCCAAAGAGACTACAATTGAAAAAGCAAATCACCAATCCATATCAGACTGGCATGGATGACATGAGCGGGTTTATGGTGGTTCTGGAAAAGAGGAGCCTGGAATGAGAGTATACAGACAGATCTGCTTTCTTGCTATGCACAGGTCTTGCTCCTTAGTTCAATACACTGTAGGCAAAATGGCTTCAAAACATGCGGCCGAACTGCCTTATTGGTTATGAAATCTTCTAGCAAGGCATCTTCACCTTCTCCAAAGTAGCCTGCATTTATAGAATAAGTTGCAACCATTCTGCCTTGCCTGATTTCAAAACTAAAATTGCAAAGGCTCCAAAATATTGCCCTCTAAAGCATGAAGAGATTTCTTTTAAAGGTAATTTACTGAATCCCCTTATCCCTCACGGAGAGACCGCAGTGAGACTTTTAAGTGCATCCTGGGAAAGAGATCTCTCTGAACCCTTAATTTAAGTAGTTGTCTAGGTGGTGGCAAATATGGTAATTGAATTATGCACTTTGAAAAAGTATTGTTTTATTGGCTTTAAATCGTTTGCTAGTCTACTTAATTTGGCGACTCCAAGTTACAGTATTAAGAGAAGTTTCTTTTTACCCAGTTTTTTTAAAAGAAAACTTTTATCATGTAGAAAAACACCCAGATACTTTAATGTTTCTTCACAAAACTGCAACTATCTGATTGCTTCTTTTAAGATCCAGTTATTTATCAAGCTTGACATTTTACTGACAGCTAGAACAGAATATTCATGTTCCTTGCCTTTCCACAAATGAAAGGATTAGATACTTGATCTGCCTTTGACCTGCTTTTTGTTAAGGGATGCAAAGATATTAGGCTAGCTGACAAGAACGAAAGTTGAGTCTTAAGTAAAAATAGCAAGGCATCCTTTAATTTATTATACTGATATATACCATTCAATTCTGTTTCACCGCATTTATCCCTGTCCTACAGAGCCCCCTTCACTTTACCGAACTTTCAAGAGGATGGTGAGCACAAAGCAGCTTGTTCTTAAAAGTCAGTCAACAAAAATTAAAATATTAAAAGAATGTACAAAATGTAGCCTGGACACAATTCAACAGAGTAGAATATTTTCAAGTTCCCACCGAGCCTACGCTTTTACCCACAAGGTTCATCAATACACCGGATCTAAGCATGCTATTCCTGCCGGATCGTCTTCTATGGGACCGGCACCTCCTTTCAAATTAACTGCATAAACAGATTACATCCCCCCCTTTTCCAGGCTTTATCTCAGCGATCCGTTCTCACCTGGTGGCGCCGGTGACTATGGCTACCCTTTGCATAGTTGTAAGGATCACAAGTCAAGGGGGTCGATCGAAAATGAAGGCGAGACGCCGGGACCGGCTATTTAATTCAGGGTGTGCGCTGCCTCCAAGGCTTCCTTCTCAGCAAGCAAGGCCCCGCCCCTTAGCAACTCCTCGCTGGCTCAGATTGGCGGCCACCTCCCCGTCCCCAGTCCGGAGGAAGGTCTGAAGCAAATGGGGAAACGGGGCGGTGGCGTGAGAGTAGACCGATGATGGGAAGGCGGGACCTGGGGAAACTCAGCCACTTCGCTTAGTCACAGGCATTGGGACGGCGAAAGAACGTTCCCCGGGTTGTGAGCTTGTCATTGGGTGGAGGCAATGCAAAGGAATATGTAAATAGCTATGGCTCTGCTGTAAGAAGGCGCGAAAGGCGGCTAAGGTAAAGAAAAGCGGCTAAGGTGAAGCGTATGAGCTATTAATGAGCCGATTAAGTCGACTTACCTGCTTGTTCCCAGACTTCGGCTTTTATTTATTTATTTATTGATTGATTTGATTTGCCAATTGTTTACAAGATAATAAGTATAAGTGTATACATAGTTGTGAATACATGAAATGGGTACATATAAGAAAAATAAAAGAATAAGAGAAACAATAGGACAGGGACGGTAGGCACGTTGGTGCGCTTATGCACGCCCCCTACATTTTCCCAGAGCCATTGAAAGAGATGATTGGCTCTTGAAAAACCAATGCTTTAGATAAGAAGGCTTCGAATACAGGCCTGTAATATACTCAGAAATTAATACCATTTAATTTAATGAAATTCACGGAATTGAACATAGCTTTAAGAGGGCCTGAAGGAATTCGTGGATCGAGGCTACTTGGTAGACCACTCAGTTAAAGATAGCCTCCCTGTTTGGAAGGAACGTGTCTCCCTGTACCACTTACAAGTTGCACAAATAAAAGTAAAGGCAGAGCTTTCCAGAGCCAGCTATAAAGCCAATTGCAAAGATGGTAGGATTGCATGGATCCTCCTGAGCTTATTGGGGGACTCATCCCTAATTAAACATTTCTCTCAATACAAGGCTTGATTTGAACAAATTACTTCATTCACAGTCTAGGTTGGTGTTTCATAGAGTTGACAACTTTAAGATGTGTGGGTCTCAACTTTGAGAATTCCCCAGTCCAGCTCTGATTAAACACTACCTTGATGATGCAGTCAGTGGTTGCCAGTTGTTGAGCTTCTCTTGGTTGCGTGGGCTGTTGCACCATGCCCCATCACCTTCAGTCACTTCAAGGCCATTTTGGCCTGGGCTGCAGGGAAAATGGGACCTTTGATTTCCATAGAAGCATCTGCTCACAAGCCCTGACAAGCTTTATATGGGTTCTTTTTTTTTTTAAAAACCAAGTTTTATTTTCAAGACAAACAATACATAGATACACATAAAACAAAACATAAAAGCATAAAAAAATCTCTTATCTGAAAGTTGATTAGTCCCGGGTTAAAACTCTTGGTACAGACACAAATTCAAATTCATATTCATTTTACATACCATTTCATATCTTATTAACATTTTCAGTTTTCTATATGTCTTCTCCTCTCCTTTAAATTTTCTCAATTTTATTTTATTTTATTTATCTCCTCTCAATTCATATCATAATATTTATTATTCTTTGTTCTATTCCAGCCAGCCCTTTATTTTCCTTCTTTAAAAAAAAGAAAAAACTTCTCCTGCACACTATATGGAGTATGATGCCTTTATCTCTTTCCCCTACATTTATAATACTTAATATAAAACACATAACATATATTGGGATTCTGTCTGGTACATTCTAAAATTATACTATATTATCAAAAATAATACAAATCTATTCATTAGTATTAATATTCATTCATATCTTAAACATTTAAATCATTACTTTTCAATCAAATCACATACTTTTATGGGAGCCCTATTTTCCATAGTTATATATTATATCCCTCATCATATATTATAACTCATTATTTCATTAAAAAGTACCTCCTTCTTCTACTTCAATTCTCATTTCACAAAAAATTTCACTAGTATACCATATTCTAATCATTAATATTAACAATCATTTATATCTTAAACATTTTATCCATTTCAATTAAATATCATGCCTTTGTGGGAACACTTATGCTTTTCAAAGATTATTACCCCCCCACATCACAATCTTGAATTATGTTTCGTTACAGTACTCCCTTTTCTTAACCAAAAATTTCACTAATTTATGTTAAATATTTTATCACATTTTAGGTTACATATTGTTTCTAATTTTCTATGTTTACTTCTAAATACAAGTATAAAAAATGCAGTCTTATGTACCTTTCTAGAATCCCTTTAACCATAAAGCTTATCCATTATCTCTAAAAAAAAATTGCTTCTTAACATCTTGCTCCCCACCATTAGGACTTCTCATCCCTTCCTTTCTTGTTCCTTCTCCTTATCCTCTTTAACCACTTGTCTCTCCACCTCCCTTTTGTTCTGCTTTCCCCCTTTCTGTTGTTTCTTAACATAATATCCCCTTTTCACCTTATTCTTCTCTTTTTGGGCTATTTTTCCAGATCTTAAAGACCTTTTCCCCTTTTTCTCTTGCTTTTTCTCTTCTCCAGTCAAAGTAATTTGTTCATCAAAGATGGCATCTCCTTCTTCTTTGTCCCCATCATCCTCATTCTGCTTCACATAAATATAAACCACCATTTCCAAGTATTGAAAAATAGTGTCAAGACCATCTTCCCCTCCTTGTTTTTCTCTTTCAAATTTTTGATATATAAGTTCCAATTCATCCATAGATGATGCCATTGTGTAGAGAAAAAGTTTTTCCAAACAACCACCCAGATGATTTAATCAGAAGTAATTTCCAAAGGTTCCAAAGTCACCAAACAATCCAAACAGACTATTTCTTTTAGATACCTTTTTCTTCTTCATTTTCTCTTTCTGGGGTTAAAGTAATCACAAATCTTTTTCAAATATATTTTTTGGAAGTTTTTAAACTCTTTGTAATTCTAGACAATCTTCTTCTTATTTTCAAATTTTGCTCTAATTCTTTTTTTCACTCTCCCTTCCCACTCACAGCCAAAAAGGTTTTTGTTTTTTTCCGCTGTCACTTTAGGAAGGAGAGTAGAACAAAGAAAAAACTTTCCCCTTTAGAATATTCGCAAATTAAAACTCTCACAGGGAACAATATATACTTAGCAGCCTTCAAGATTCCAGGTCATTTTCTCCCGTCTTGTCCCGGTTAGAATCAACTTTCACTTTTCTTTCAGCTTCCTCCCTCCTGCACCTGCTTGTCCGGCTGCAGCTTTCTTCGTGGCGGCCATTGCTGACCGCCGTTCCTCCGCTTCGGGAAAAGGGGGTTTAGCCGGCTGGGGAGGGGGTTTGCGACACCCCCAAGCCCCTTGCCGGATCCCCCCTGTCTTCAGCTGCCTCTGCGGGGCAGCTATATCCCCCAGATCCAAATGGATCGGGGGAACCTTGACGGTGAACGCAGCAGGGATTGCGCGGTCGCGAATCCCTGCCGCCGCCGAAAGGTTGCAAACCGGAAGTCCTAAGCTTTATATGGGTTCTTATACACACTACTAAACTAACCACACTTGTTGGTTTACAAGGGATAAGGGAAGTGGTGGAATTCAATTTTTTTTTACTACCGGTTCTGTGGGTGTGGTTTGGTGGGTGTGGCAGGGGAAGGATACTGTAAAATCTCCAGTCAGAGCTGATATTTGCCGGTTCCGAACTACTCAAAATGTCCACTACTGTGTTCTCCTGCTGAATACCACCTCTGGGTAAGGGTGGAGGGAAAAGAAGGTTGACAGTCAATTTAAAATTGAGAAAGATCTGTATTGTTGGCTTCTATTTATTTGTTAAACATATTAGACTGCCCAGTTGCCAAATTCTCTGTGCTGATTACAATAAAACACAAAAAAATCACTTTGAATTCAAACATACAAAGTCAAATACAGTGCAAAATGAAAACACCATGCAAACCAGTCAGCAACAAGGGGGTTTTTGGGATTCAATTTTTTTTACTACTGGCTCTGTGGGCGTGGCTTGGTGGGCGTGGCAAGGGAAGGATACTGTAAAATCTCCAGTCAGAGGTGGGATTTGCCGGTTCTCTGAACTACTCAAAATTTCCACTACCAGTTCTCCAGAACTGGTCAGAACCTGCTGAGTACCACCTCTGGCTTTCAGCATATATTCTGAGGGATACATTCTACTGTCGACTAGCCAGTTGCCACCCTGAGTTATTGGGGATTGGAGTTGAAATTGACCAAAGTTCTACTGATTTCCCATTGTTAGCCCAAGTGATGGGAGGACCAGTAAAGAAGAGCCCAAATGGCAGGCTGGTCAGCAGAGGACAAGTCCAGTATGAAGTGGAATTCTTTGAGGGCACTAAGTGAGAAACTTCAAGCTTCATTCTCTTCCACTCCTTTGGGGACATAGGTTTGTTGGT